CTGAACTGCAGATAACAGTCAGCTGAAGTGGCCTGCAGTACTGCACCCTAACCACTGCGCCACCTCGGCTCTTAGTGTTCTCTCAATTTAGAGGGCTTGCCCACTAGAATATAAACTGAGAGCAAACCCCATTCCTTACTAGCACCAATGATGATACCTAGTTTGGGTAATGAAACATCTGCAAGTAAACAACCAAGCTCAGAGAGCACTAAGGGCTGTTCATTTAGATAGTCTATATGGAAATTCTCAATCATCCAGGTCATAGTTGTCCCAAAGGTGCTTTTTTGTGGTATTTTGTCTTTTGAAAAGCCTGTGGTGGTGCAGTGATTAAAATGCAGTATTGCAGGCTAATTCTGACGACTGCCAGAAGCTCGTTACTCACCGGCTCTAGGTTGACTCAGCCTTCCATCCTTCCGAGGAGGGCGAAATGAGGACCCAGATTGTGGGGGCAATATGCTGAGTCTGTAAACCACTTAGAGAGGGCTGAAAGCCCTATGAAGCGGTATATAAGTCTAACTGCTATTGCTATTGCTATTGCTATTGCTACTAAGGACCCCTCAAATATTCTCTCTTACTGGTACAATACTTAAAGAAACATTTGAAAACAGTTAGTTATATTCCAATCCATAGTTTTATCCAGAAATTATACATTTCATTCATTAAAAATATCTAGACAGTATTTTCCATTATCTCTACTCTCTAGTAGCCACTGTAAATTGGGAGATTAGCACATCTACTCTGCTCATAGTGTAGTTCTCACATCCTGCTCATCATTTAGAAAGCTACTGTTCTCACTTCCTCTAAAAACTGGGCATAATTAAACTTTCAAATGGAGAAATTGTGAAGAGTTTGCCATCAGTTTTATGTATCAGTGTGCAAACTGTGGACCAAATGATGGTATCTCTAACAATGATGTTTGCTAGTGGCATATTTTGGAGACATTCTTTAGCTATTGTTCATTTCAAGCAGGAGTGATAGGAAACGCCTATCTTTAAGCAGAAGGGCTGCACAAATTAGTTTGCAATCCACAAATCAAGACAAAGCACAAGTAGATAATTAAGTAGATTATTAAGATGTTGAACAAAATTCAGGAGTTTGAGAATTCAGATTTTGAACTTCTAGATAGCTTAATCTAAACAACAGCTTGAGAGGTATTAGGAACAGCCCAAAGAAAATATTTGATTTTTTCCAGCTGTTTCAATGGTGAAAGAAAAAGAACCCAAAACAATCTGGTGAAATTCTGAAAATTTCATTACTCCAAGGAATAGTCCAGCGAGGAAACTAGCTGGATCTTTATTATGCTGTGGATGGACCTTTTGTGAGCAAGATGTCTTTCCTTATGGCAAGTGATTGGTTTAGATAAATTGTTAAGGGTCTTTGTTGATTGTTCTGTGAATTTAAGTAAGAAGGGATTTGAAGCTCAAAGTTTGCCTGGCTAGTTTGAATCTCTGAATTCAGTCACTCCCTCTCTACCTCTTTCCAATCCTTTCTTTCCCTTTGAAAGATTGCATTGCAAAGGCGGAGGGGTTAAATGCAAAAGTGCTATATAGAATGCTTCACACCTTTTAAATGCACATCAAAGGTGCCTTACAAGGAGAAACCATTGGACTTTCTACAACACCTTTTCCTGCAATTTAGCTGCCTGTCTCAGATTCCTCTGCTTTCACTTATCCCAGTGAAATACGAGATAAAGTATGTTCTAGCTACTTAGCTGATTGGAAAGTTGTCCTGTTCCATCTCGGAATGAGTTATGTTTCAGCTCACTGTAAAGAATTTGGGCCCATGGATTGAAATTGAGTCTGTAGGTGGCAATTTTAGGTTTCATGATTGTAACATATGTACAATTGAATATTTGGCCATTGACTTGGAATGAAACATGGGCTGATTCCAGTTCTGAGTTGTTGTTTGTTAGAGACAAGGAGTAAGGCCAGTAGAGCTGTAGTTCTGGAATCAGTTCCTAATTATTATTTGTAGTTCTGGAATCAGTTCCTAATTATTATTTCTGTACATATTTATATTTCCTCTTTTATTTTTAAGCCCTTAATTGAAAAAGTCCCCCAGATGAGTGGCAGGGTGACCTAGAGGTGAAGATGCTTGCCTTCCACTTAGACGGTTGAGAGTTCAGTCCTAGACAGCAACAGATATTTCTCTATCGGGATGCAAAGAGAAAATATCTGCTGCAAACTCCACATAGGTTTCAGGAAGGGCATCCGGCCAGTAAACTCTCAGCTCCATCCAATTGCCCTGACTCCACCCCGATAAAATGGATCACAGGGTCATAGAAAAAAAAAAGAGTCTTCCAGATAAGTTCTTTGACAGTGAGAAAATGGCAATATTGATAAAATATAACCTGTGGGTACTTCTTAAATTTCCCAATTTTTTAAAAAAATATTTAATTTAATTCCAGTCTGTATTTTGTCCATAGCCCAACGGTCAGCTCATGAACTTCCAATGGTTGAAAGACAAGATGTGGACACCTGCCTTGTATACGGTGGACAGCAAATGATTTTAACCGGCCAGAACTTTACAGCAGAATCCAAAGTCATCTTTACAGAGAAGACACCAGGTATGGCATCCGTTTCATTCTTTCTCCCATTTGGCTGATTAAGGAAAGCCATGTCTTGAGGTGGCGCAGTGGTTAAATGCAGCACGGCAGGCTGCTTCAACTGACTGCAGCACGGCAGGCTGACTGCTAGATCAGCAGCTCAGCGGTTCAAATCTCACCGGCTCAGGGTTGACTCAGCCTTCCAGCCTTCC